GTGTGTATTTTTGTTTTTTTTTGGTGTATGAGGAAGAGAGGAGGGGGGGGGGAGGAGATTCTACAACAATGGAACTATAGCTACAGTATAAGCCAAGAGCCAAAACATATAGCAGTACTCATTGGAGCTGAATTTTGCCCAACATCTGAGATTTCTAAAATAGATTATTTACAAAAAAAATTGATTTTTTGTTCTTGAAGGCCTAGATCCCCCATTTTTTTTGTGTGAGGAAGAGAGAGGGGGGGGGGGGGAGGATTCTACAACAATGGACTTATAGCTACAGTATAAGCCAAGAGCCAAAACACATAGCAGTACTCATTCGCGCTGAAATTTTGCCCAACATCTGAGATTTCTAAAATAGATTATTTAAAAAAAAAAAAAATGATATTTTGTTCTTGAAGGCCTAGATCCCCCATTTACTGAAAGTAGTGGACCCATTTCCCCCTTGTTTTGTGGAATTTTTTTTTGATCGCCCAGATGAGGCCTACATGTGTGCAAAATTTGGGGTTCAGTAAACCCATAAATTTGGAAGTGGTTTGTGCCTGTATATAAGCCCATAGGCTTTTATAAATAGGGGTGTGACTTTTATTTATTCTCCCCTCGTCTCCATCAGGAAAAAATAAATGTCACCACTATTATTTTTCTGTCCTTGTTTTCTAAGATCTTCCCCCTCTTTTTGTTTCTCAAAACTGTTCTCTATATCTCTTTACTTGAAACTCTTTTTGATTTATTATGTAAATCTGGTGATAAAGTGGCCCAAAACTAAGTATCTTTCTCTCCTCTAAAATCCCTTTTATGATTTATCCAAATCTTGGTTTAATAAAAATATTTTTTTGATAAAATCCACTTATATTGCATAAAACGAGGTACATCAGAGGGGGGACCCTGACCAGTTTCCCCAAAACCTTTCAATAGAGAGAATCAATGCTGTACAGCAAAAGGGAAGAGAAAAGAACAGGGGAAACAATTAGGGAACAAAATTTTGACGAGCTCGCTCCTTTGCCATTGTGAGTTCTGAAACGGCTTCCAATTCCTGATGAGCTGGGGTTGCCTAGAGATCAACCATCAAATTGAGCTTGATTGAGTCAGGCTCCGGCGATCCCCAAAGTGAAGCCCGGGCAATTCTAGGGGGAACAAGAGATAATGAGGAATCCCAATTCCTGAAAAGTTCATAGTGAGCATAGTCTTTGAAGAGGTAGTGGCCTAGAAAGAAAGAAGATTTTTAACCTTATCAAACAATGAAGCAACTCCAGAGTACTCACCCCTGAAAATTCGATTGTTCCTTTCCATTCACAGCACCCAGATTACCGCAGCCACAGAGGCTTTCCATAGGAAAATGCCTGATTTAGGCCAGGGGGTGCTAAAGGTTGACGGAAAAAGATGAGGGACAGAGCTAGGAGTGACCCAAGGCTGATGGAAAAAAATGAAGAATAAGAGTCCATAGGTCGCTAGCCAAGTTGCAATGAAGAAATGTGTGCGCATTGGACTCCTTGGTCTCTAAGCACATGACACATCTATTCGCCACAGGCAGGCCCCTCCTCTGAATCTGATCCACAGTTAACACCCTCTCATGGAGAGGGTGCTGATTAAATTATTCCCTATGGAGAAGAAATTAGGGCGAACAAAAAAAGTTAAACTTAATAAAAAATTTAGAAATGGCTAGTTATATGCTATGCCTACCAAAAATAGAAGTTACTGTGGTCTAATTATGCCAATCAGAATTAGTGAGTATAAAATTAGGAATTCTACCATAGTGTTCATTTATATTGAAAAAGAAATTTCAAAAAAAAGAAGCGAAAATATTAGATAGAAAATTAAATAGCTATAGAAATAATACATCGAGTGATTTAAAAATGAATACAAATGGAAGCATTATTCAAGTTAACATATCAAAGAATATAAGTACTCTGTTCTAGTTAAACATTTTAAAAATTCATTTTCATCTAATTTCTTAATTGGAGTGTCATATAAACGCGTGTGCCATTAGCTAGTTAAAGATGAATACATAATGCATTTTCTGGCCTTCTGTAAATCGCTATTCGGTGTTGCCTGTAGAGAACTGCAAATGAGTATTAGTGTTCCTCAGATTGGCTTTGGTGACTTTTACAAGCCTCATAGCCTTTTGAATCTCTGTTTTTTCGATTCCCTTTTTTTAATCCCTACTGCGAGCTTCTCATAAGCTCTAGAGGCTTTTCATGATGGTGAGGGTCAGCAGCTATTTGTTCCTGTGCATTGACTAACATTATATTGATGCAATGAAACTGACACTTTTGATTGTGCTTCTATGTTTTGCTTTGTGGCCCCAGTTGATGCCTTTATTTAGAGTTTGATAGTGTTGATGTAGCAACTTTTATGTACCTTCCTATGTCTTCAATGTGGTGTATTTGGTTTTCTTGGTAGAACCTTATTTGGTTACCATCCTAATGGTATATATGGCCTACATATGTTATCTTTAGTGAACTACTTAAGAATGATAAAAACTGTACATTTTGGTATCAACTTGGGACATAGTACTTCAGTATCGAGCTATGTTTATTCTTACCATCCTAATGGTATATATGGCTTACATGTGTTAACTTTAGTGAACTACCAAGAATGATAAAAGCTTCACATTTTGGTCTCAACTTGGGACATCTCCCTTAAAAAAATCGAAAGGCTTGATCACACTCTTCCAAGAACATAAATGGGAATTTCAACTCAGGTGAGTTATGAGTCCTTCCTTCCCCTGTATTTTTATGATCTATTTTTCCATTTGTAATGGCCATTCCTAGCGTCCTTTGATTTATCTTTCTTTGGCTTTAGCAGTTTGGCGTTTAGGGGTACATATTTAAGGGTGTTTCTGTCTTATACCATGGGCAAGATATTTGTTTTCAAATTTTGTTTTAGTCTCATCAAATTGTAACTTATCAAATATTTGATACTATCTTTTTCCTACAAAAAAGTGCTTTATATAATTCACTTTTTGAGTATACATTTTTATGATTGAACATGCAAGTTCTTCACCTATTGTATATTCCATTTTGAATGAAAATACTCCATTTCCTGGTGTGATGTTCCAAGCAAGTTTGTATTTCAGTACTATGCATAAGGAGTTCAGCATTTCCATTGCTATAAGAAAGATGATTATTAATACTATAAATGAGAAGGCATCTGAGTTGAATCTTCAAAGTTGGTGAGGCAAGAGAGTTACTAGAGGGTGGGTTGAGGAGCAGTTTCCGAGAGAAGATGTAAAAGGGATGGTGGGGATGGTTAAACTTGACTAACTTTGGAGTCATATTTGCAACACAATTTCTGGGATCTCCCAACCTAGGTGATGATCTCGCTCTAGAATCTTGCTTTGGTCCCCCGGGAAGGGATCTTGGATCTTGGTGGGATTTTGGATCCCCACCTTAAAGGCCAAGATAATGACCAAACTGATGATTTTCTTTATTTGTAGCTAGCTAGCAATATAACTGTGCTTTTAATATAGTAGTGTTGCTCGCTAGTTATAAATACATAGATCCTTATTTTAAAGAGTATATACAGTCCTAGGTTATATATATTCTTAAATTTTGGAAGCAAAGTCCCCAAAAGGGGGATCAAGATCTCCAAAAGGTTGGGATCAAGATCCTTAACAATTGGGGATCTCGATCCCTAACATATGCATTGTACAGATGGTGATCCCAACCTTGGAATGTTCTAGCCTTTAAAGATCCCCCGCTTCTGATCTGGATTCCACTGCTGATGCGAGGACTATGATTTGCACTCATATGATGCTCAGAGAAGGGCAAATTGTCGAGTTTTTTTTATGGGTTCCCATGTGAAGGGCAAATTGTCGAGTTTTTTTTGTGGGTTCCCTTGTGAAGGGCAAATTGTCGAGTTTTTTTTATGGGTCCCCTGTGAAGGGCAAATTGTCGAGTTTTTTTTATGGGTTCCCATGTGAAGGCCACGCCAACAACTCCTTTGCATTGATGAACATGAAAACACGGAAGGCATTATGAAACTATAATCAATGCACCTGCAGTGAACCTATCAAACAAAAAGGAAAATCCAAGTGGCTAGAGGAAAAAACTGGGATGTAAGTAGGCACACCTTTATGGCCATCCTTTACTGCTATCTTGGAGGACATGTAGGATATTTTGAAGCGATGTTTAGAATCTCGTCTTGGAAAAGGTGTCTGGCCTTTGGCCGAAGCTAGTTACTTGGGCGAGTACTTGAACTCTCCCAAGTCATGACTAAGTCCAGAAAGGACTCAAGGGAGCTTAAAAAAAAAAGGAAAAATCCCCAAAAAATAGAAAATTTAAATTTTTTGGAAAATTCTTGTGAAGTGAAATTAGTAGATGTATGATTTTTCAATGTTAAAATCAGAGAAATAGTTTAAGCAAAATATTTACGCCTATATATTTTATGGCAAATGTATTATTAAATTTAAATAATAAAACGATAAATTAGAATAAAATTATTAATATGTAGTACCAACTCAGGAATATAAAATTATTATGGTTATTTAAATAAAGTGGGAATATCATTAATTTTTCAAATTGATACGCATACCAAATTTCTTCCCAAAAATGGTTTCTACATATCTGATGGAAAAGATCTTAACTATCTCGATCTATAGACTGCCAACCAACAAATTGATGTAAGGTTTGTGTAGATCACACACAAATCTACAAAAAGAGCCAAAAGTAGCTAAAAATACTGAAGATTGAAGGTGAAATAATCAAAATGGCAGACCATATTGATGCATACAAAAAATATATGGTTTCATTAGATTGGATGGAAAAGAGCTTCAATATCTTGATCTATGATAGATATCCAACCAAAAAGTTGACATAGGGTTTTTATAGATTGCACAAATAATCTACAAAAAGAGACGACTAGAAGCAGTGAAAAAGTAAGAGAATGGGAGGTTTTTTTAATGAAATGGCGGACTGGTTTATTGGGCTTTTTTTGGGTGAGAACTTTGATAAAAATTGATTTTTAAGATTGATTTGTGGTAATTTTTTCGAGGTAAAGTTAGTTTTATAGGCTTCCAAAAGTTCTTTGTGTTGAATAATTGCTTCTCAACCGAGTCTTTAACTTCTTGGATGTGTGTATAACTACTCGGACGAGTCTTTAACTACTTGGACAAGTACACTTTGTACTCAGGCAAGTGACAATGTACTCACTTGAGTAGTGTACACCTTGTTTCTAGAGAGGGGTGCATTGAATTGGGCTATAACTAGCCTTGCTGTGGACTTGGCCGAGTCCAAAAAATGCTGGTTTAGAGTGATGTTGGGGAGGAATGGGGGATATGGAATTGAGGAATCGGGTAGAGGATAAAGACCACTAAACTGAGAATGATACACTTGCAATCGGTTATGAGAAGGTGGATGGAGAGAGAAGGAAGTCACAAGGACAACAAAGGTTTGGTAGAGTGTTATCAATTATGGCTACATACCGCATGTATTAAGCAGTATCTAGGTCTGGTTAGGCCCACCTAGGTGATGCATTGGTTTCCATTGAGGGCCATACAAGTCAAGCCTAGATCCAACTTATTTTATGGGCCTAACTCGTAGGACTTCCCTAACAACTTGCGAAGTTCATTTTGAGCTATGTTGGATTCCATGGTGAATCCGGAAAGTAGGATAAACAAAAAAAGTGGAGGATTAGATAAAAGTCATACCTTTTCGTATTCCGATACCTCTATGTTGATACGATCTTTTTCTGGTTTCTTTTATATATGCGTCTCCTCTGATTCAAAAGTTTGATGTTGCAACCCTAGTCCAGCTTTCAATTATCAAAACTAAAAGTTCAATATATACAATTCAAGTCCCCCGAGCCGTTCGATGGAGGCAGCTCGAGTGATCTCATGATGGTGTATGGTGCACTTGTTTTCTAGAGAGAGAAACTCTATGGAAGAAAAAGAGGAGAGAAAGTCATGTGAGAAAAGGATACACAATCTCTCTCTATACTCCTTTTTATATGATGGTCCCCCTTCCCATGATTCGCTTATCATGAAAGGGTTTATCACTTGTCTACAAGTTCATATCTTCTAAGATATTTTAGATTGTTATTATCAAATAATGTACTTAATCCAATATCTTCTTATCTTATTGATCAACACTCCAAATGCTTAAAAGTTCCTCCCACCCACAAAGGGGCAGACTGCACCAAAAAGTCAAACTTCTCCCAATCGTCCCGCAGTGGGTTGGAACAGTCGGCTATGAGCGATGTAGTCGCTCCTTAAGGTCTCCTAGTTCATTCTCCATAGAGCATATGAGAGAGTTTCTCACAACCTGAAATGTTCCCACCCACAGCGGGTCGAGGGGGAGAGGTTGGATTTTCTTGACGGGGTTCATTCAGAGAACCTTTTGGGAATTTGGGGCTTTGACTAATAAGATAAGGAGAGATGATATTAAGTGGAATATTTTATTATTTTATATAATGACAAAATATGAATATATTGGAAGATATTGATTTGTAGATAAGTGCTAATCATTTTCATAAAAAGGGAATATTTGGATAAACCATTTATATAAAAGGGGGATGTACAGAGAGCTTGTGCATAGACTCTCTCTTCCTTTTTTGTCTGTTGTCTTTCTTCCATACACCAACTTGAGATCTTTTTTTGTCAAATTGCTTGGGGGACTTGCACTGTATAAACCTTTTCCTTATTTTAATACTAATCTATTAGTCTAGGATTGGAATTTTCATTGGATCTATGGTTAGTTGGAAATAGAATTTTTACTACTAATCTATTAGTCTAGGATTGGAATTTTCATTGGATCCATGGTTTGTTGGAAATAGAATAGATCTAATTGAGCAGGTCCATCTCTCTCTCTCTCTCTCTCACTCAAATCTCAATTGAGCTGGATCTATGGTCTCTTTCTCTCAAATCTCAATTGAGCAAGCGTATGTTGGGTATGGAACAATAAGACTATTAACTTTTGACACTAGGATGCCATGATCAACTTTTGAGTGTTGGGATGCAGGGGTGGGGTCGTGTTGGACCCAACCCAAATTTTTTTGAAATATTTATGTATTTAATGATACTTAAATATATTTCAAAAATATTACTGGATCCAGACCCGGGCCCGACTTGGCGGTTTCAAATATTGGACCCATACTTGGACTTGAATTGGGTCTATCCCTTGGGTCCCGGGTGCATTGCCACCCCCTGTTGGATGCGAATCGGTGGCTGAGGGTTTTCCAATAGCCTGGCTGAAAGAGAAATTATCAATCCTTTTGACCACCCTTTGACGGCTAGATTTGACATTGACAGCGATATGTTATTGTAAACCCCTTGTACTGAAAGTAAATACTTTTATTAATATACAAATCCATATGCACACACACATCTATCTATTCATCTCGTAAAACCCAGGTCTTTGTTGTGATTTATGCAGGCTGAGATGAAGATCTGCTGAGCAATTTGCTTATGGCTGGCTATTTTTATTGGTTGTTCAGGCAAAGGTCTGACCCAACAATGGGTTCGTCATCTTGCGTCAATGGGTGGCTTTGTTGCATTCGCTATTTTGATACTTGTATCTTATCGTACCTTTCTAAAAGAAAGACATTAGCAGCTCTAGTAGTAGCAGTAGTAGTTCACCTGCCCCAATACAACAAATTATGCATGGATCTTTATTTCCTAATGAACTGCCCGGTTTCTGCATGTGTTGCTTATGATTTCTAGTTTCAAGGTCACAATACTTTTCTTTCAATGGAATGGAAATTTGATTGAGGTGCCAAGTGCTTCTCCAATGCTATCTAGCATCAAAGCAGCCTTGACCTCTGTTTTCGGGGTGAATTGGCCAACCGAGAAATTGGTCTGGGTCGACAAATAACCGATCCGGTAGAATTAGTTGGCCAATTTAAAAATAAAAAACTGAAAAATAAAAAATAAAATGTGGTGCTGAATTAATTGGTACACTCACAAAACCGGTTGGTTTTTGGTGGGAATCGCCTGGTTTCCAATATATTTAGGCAGGTTTAGTGTTTTAAGACCTAGATTTTTCAAGATATTTAGGCAGGTGTAGTGTTTTAAAACCTAGATTTTCCAATATATTTAGGCAGGTTTAGTGTTTTAAAACCTATATCCAAGGGGTGGACAACTCTGTCCATTGGTGATCCGTTTGGTGTTTGAATTGGTGATCTAGAAAACAATTTAATAATAAATAGAATAAAATAAAATTTGAGTAAGTGTTTATAGGGAGGGAATTGGAAGGGACTTAAGTGGGGCCTTGGGGGAAATTGGGGACCTATGCGAACTCATAACCGATTTGGTCTTGCTTGATTTCCATCCAGATTGGAAATTGAGAATTGGTTTAAAACACTGGGTAGGGTTTTAAAACACTAGGTAGGGTTTTAAAAACATCGATCTGGATTGAGAAAGAATTGGTGAGACTAGTTTGGTTCTCACCATATATCAAGAAGTGGCCACTTCTCTGATCCAACCCTACTTATTTTACTTTTTTGCAATTTTTTTTTTGTTGGCCAATAAGCTCTGCCTGACCGTTGTTTTGGACAGTTGATTTGCCGATTTGGACCGGTTTTCATTTGGGTAGATCGCCCAACCAATCATTTTTTCAAACACTAGCATGATATTTAGGGAACATGGACAGCCCAACTATTTCCAAAAGTCAGATTAACCGATTCTGAACCAACCCATCTTTTTTAAAATATTAGTTTTGATTGGAGAGGATGGGGACATGGAATTGGAAATGTTTACACTATGCAAGAGAATGGTATTGTAAACGTGCTTTTCATCCTCGGTGCACTTTACTTCTTTTCAGAGAGAGAGAGAGAGAGAGGTTGTTTTTCCTCAAGAGTCCATTATGCATCTGTGTATTTTCAAATGGTGTCCAACATGCCCAACATGCAGAGAGAGAGAGAGAGAGAGAGAGAGAGAGAGGAGGAGGTAGTTAGTTAGAGTACGAAGAACGTGTCGTTCCTTCCGTCCGCGACTACGTACGCTCTCGTCCTTAACTTAAGTTTGTAGTAATA